TACAATTATATTATGCATTTTATGTGATTATTATTATTAATAATAATAATAATAATAATAATAATAAAGGGGAGGGGTGCTTCTCACATATTTTAGGTTGCAAAACAAATATTTGAAAGTGTTCTTGAACTTTTTCCTTTCTTGGTCTGTATTCTGGAACCAAAACTCTTCTTGCCTGCCTTGAGGCTCTGGAACTGCTGGAGTACTAGAACTCCCAGCCTGCATTTGTGTGGCTCTCCAGTCCCCAACTCTTTGAAATCCTGCAGCTTGGCGTGTCTTTTTATCACTTGAGGAACCAAAAGTCCCAGACTGCCTTGTAGCTCTACATCTATGGTTAAATGAGATATCCCATCCTGCATGGTGGCTCCACATCTGTTGCAGAACTACAAACCTCAGCCGACTGAAAATTAAAAACGAAACATCCCAAAAGGTTATAGTTACAAACTCCGCAAACCTATATTTTTGCTTGGAAGTGGGTAGCTGGGACCTGTAGTTCCTCCTGGAAGAGTTATTTGAGTGACTAGAAAATCACAGGCAGCTGTGACCTGTAGTTCCTCCTGGAAGAGGTACATGAGTGAATAGAAGAACAAGGGCAGCTGGGACCTGTAGTTCCTCCTGGAAGAGTTATTTGAGTGACTAGAAAATCACAGGCAGCTGTGACCTGTAGTTCCTCCTGGAAGAGGTACATGAGTGAATAGAAGAACAAGGGCAGCTGGGACCTGTAGTTCCTCCGGATAGAGTTACATGAGTGACTAGAAAAGCACGGACAGCTGGGACCTGTAGTTCCTCCCGGAAGAGGTACATGAGTGAATAGAAGAGTCCAGGGATACTTTTTGAACTTGTTTGCAGTTTGATATCTTTATAGACTCGTGCACATTGCATCCCTCGTTGCTGCAGTTTCTAGCTGCTCGGTAAGGGTCTCCATGGCTGGTATTAAATCTGTTATAAAGTTTTGGAGAGTTGATAAAATAAAGTTACAAGAGTGATTTAAAAGGGTGAAAGCGGTGGCGCCTTTAATTGACCCCCAGTTGTCAGGGGAGGGGGCTGTACCCAGAAAATAAAAAGGAGGAGGGGGTGGGGGGGTCTGTGGGCGGATCCACCCTACTTCTTACGTCTGACTGTGAAGAGCCGACAATCGCAGATGAGTAGAGATAAGTAAAAGGCGGACAGCAGCGACGGAGCTCAATCCAGGAGAGGCTGCAATGCTCAGCAGGTCACAGGTGCCTCCACGCCGCGCTCATCAGCATCTGTAGACTGCAGTGTGTACGGCTCAGCCACAGCTGCATGCAAGGGAAGAGACCAGCAGAGCAGGAGTCATCTGGAAGCAGCAGAGCTCGGCTCTAACAAGGACTGGAGACAGCAGAGACATTGGACAACAGAGAGGACTGCATGCAGGTACAGAGAACAGACCCAAAAGCAGCAGGAGAGCCGAGCTGCAAATCCCAGGCCTCTCCAGGGAAGCAGAGCTTTGACACAGCAGCCAGAACTGGGCTGGACAGCCAGCTTGCTAATATTCCTCTTCCTGTTCCAGCTGTTGCATTCAGTAGTAGACGTTGCTCTTTCAGCTCCTCTGACAAGCCTCTTCTACAGCAGTAGGTTCTAGCAGCCTCAAGCGACTCATCAGGTGAAGAAGCTCCTCCACCTTCTGACCTCCATCCAATTCTCCAAGCACTGAAGCCTCCCCCAGCTTTGCAAATGACTGCAGAGATCCAACAGCCGCCCTCCCAGACCCCTTCACAGAGCAGCCCCATGTCCGGAGCCACCGAGAAGCAGACCACGGTCATGGAGTCAGCCTCCTGCACCACCAAGACCAAGAAGACCAACGCCGGCATTAGGAGGCCGGAGAAGCCCCCTTACTCTTACATTGCCCTGATCGTCATGGCCATCCAGAGCTCCCCCACCAAGAGGCTGACCCTCAGTGAGATCTACCAGTTCCTGCAGAGCAGGTTCCCCTTCTTCAGGGGCTCCTACCAGGGCTGGAAGAATTCCGTGAGGCACAACCTGTCCCTCAACGAGTGCTTCATCAAGCTGCCCAAGGGGCTGGGCCGGCCAGGCAAAGGGCATTACTGGACCATTGACCCGGCCAGCGAGTTCATGTTCGAGGAAGGCTCCTTCAGGAGAAGGCCCAGAGGCTTCAGGAGGAAATGCCAAGCCTTGAAGCCCATGTACAGCATGATGAATGGTCTGGGCTTCAACCACATACCGGAGAGCTACAGTTTCCAGGGGTCTGGAGGAGGCATCTCCTGCCCACCCAACAATCTGGCACTGGACAGTGGCTTAGGCATGATGAATGGGCATTTGTCAAGCAACGTGGACGGGATGGGGTTAACTGGGCATCCTGTGTCGCACCTGGCTGCCAACGGGGGGCACTCATACATGGGCAGCTGCACAGGCTCCTCAGGAGGTGATTACTCCCACCACGATTCGGGGTCTCCACTCCTTGGAGGAGGGGGCGTCATGGAGCCTCATTCGGTGTACAGCAGCTCAGCTTGGGCGCCGACCTCTTCTGCCCTCTCAGGAGGGGCACCCTACATCAAGCAACAGCCCCTGTCACCCTGCAACTCTGCCACCAACCCTTTGTCCTCCAGCCTGTCATCCCACTCCCTGGAGCAGCCCTACCTGCACCAAAACAGCCACAACACGTCCGATTTACAAGGTGAGTGCCACTCAGCTGCCAGCCACTGGTTGCCTATTGTGCCAATGCTGGCCTTATAAGGCAATGAGCAATGCGCAGTAACCCATAGCAACCAATCGTTGATCCTTTCTATACTTCTGGCTATAGTGAGCTGATGGGAAAACACAAAGTGACATCTGATTGGCTGATTTGGGTTTTTGCGCATCATGGCTCTTCCAGTAATTCCGACAATCTTTTCCGATTTCCTGTGATACAATCGTAATATACAAAAGGTAACCAATTTGTAACTGCAGCACTAGGGATCTTTTTGCACTAGGGGGGTCCAAGGAGAAATCATCTGAGTACAGACAGTGGAAGAATTCCTAGGCATCGATGTGTCAGGGCACACACATACATTACGCACATATGAGTCACTAGCAGAGAGGACAACATGAATCTGGCCAAACTGGCCCATCCTGGACTAAACCTGGCAATTATCTCTGCAGGCACCGAGAGAGAATGATAATAAGATGTATGTGTTTGTTGGGGGGGGGGGGGGGGGGGGGTTGGGGGGGCACGTGTGATGCGCTCCCGCGCCCCCCCCCCCAGCTTGGGAGGGGGGCCCA